TAATTTTGGTTTGACATTTCATTTTTCCCCGCCACGCAACTCAGCTGTTCCCTCCGTGCTCGTTTCAGCAGGCAAACGAATTGGATGTGTCATTCCGCTGTCCGGATAAAGTTTTCACTGGCGTGTATCTTGTTGACGGCAGAGGACTACTAGTGCGATTCTTGATTCCGTCATTCGTGTCTAGTCGGAGAGCTACCCATAATGTATCGAACGCACGTATTATTCAAAGCACGATTAGTTGTGTTCGGTTACAACAATACGCGTGGCAAGTGCAAATAAATCTCGTTCAAATGCGGTCTGATTAGAAATCGACTTATTTTTCGCTGATCGATCACATCGAATCACAGTTGACACACTCGTGATGGAACAGAGCAATAAACAAACAAACGTGTACGAGTACATGCGTTCCCTAGATAAGGACTATTGGAACAGAACTGATTTCCCGAATAAGAGAGTTAGGAGTGATGTGTGAATGTTCTCTGTCTAGTCGATACCACCAATCAGCAACCGTGTTGATTGTGTTGCACGCAACCCGAACACAGTTAACGTGTAATGGACCCATGATCAGGTCATAATACAATGCAACCAAATGAGTTATGCGATATACGATGAGTCAAACGAGAACATGACACGGAAAAGAAAATATCCACTCACTCGACCTTCTTTATCCGCACCCCATCCATCCGGAATAGGCAGGTTTCTTCGGCGGCACATTTCAAGCTGTGGGAATCAAAACATAGACCGGCAACCGAGTAATAGTTGTTGACAAGGATGAAACTTGCGGACAGATAGACAAAAAGGATAGCAGTTCGACCGAACAATATGGTGACCAATTGATACAAATACTCTAACAAGGTCATTAATAACGGTCATTTTGTTACCGAATGATATTTTTCACGTCAGAATTGTGCATCATCAATCTCCATGATCCAACCAACCCGTAAAAATCATTGTTTTTATTTCCACGTGTCTGTTTCCAATTCAACCTATTACAAAGCATCTACCATGTAGACCTAGTATGAGGTAACTTTCAACGCCTAACTATGCTCATTAATTACATGATTGGGATTGATCCGATCGGCGAACTGGTTGGTGTAGATAGTTCTTGTAGCTGTTCCATTCAGTACAAGCTATACAATTTGGTAGGACCAAGGGGGATGGAGGGATAAATTGGCCTTCGTAAATCCGATTTTTCTGGAGAGGAGGACTATTCCATGCAACCGGATCCGAGAGAATAGATTCACTAGCTTCGTTCCAATTGTGCTTTGATTCCGTTTAGTTCGAATGTTATTTCACGGTGCACGTAAATTGTTCTTGGATGTGTTCGAGGATGAGTGAAAATGCATTCAATGATGAATTTGACTATCTGAAGTCAACATTACTATCAAAAGGATATCAGAATCACCTGAACCAGAGTAGTTGACCTTCTGCGCAAAATTTTTTTGCAACACTAACCGATTGATCGAGGAGCACCTTATCTCTGTCCTTTAATATATGCTTGCGAGGTATATGGGTGAGAAAAGATGTAAGAACCACTCGGTCAACACTATTCACCAGGAAAGAGAAATCGTATGTTCAAGCAAAAAAAAACCCCAATAGTCTTCAACTATTTTAATTTGTATGCTCGACCGCATCAACGTCAAAAGAATGAAGAGATAACCGTTATTTGGAAAATCTGAACAGACCGCGATTTGGTTTCGCAAGTGGATTATCGGAACCTTAGCCGACATGACGTCATTGATGAAACGTGATGCAAGCGCATCACCAGTCACGTAGCGTGTATTCACATTCGAAGAACTGCATTAGGTATAACAACTTGGTCCGTATTTTATCGATTCACGCCAAAATCGGGATACTCGAACAGTAGCAATTAACCTACGTACCTTTGGAACCGGCAGATTGGACTTACATTGATCGGTCATTATATCGTGACCAGTTCGTTTGATGAAGTTCCACTGGGCGCATTCTCACCTACAACAAAGAACTCAAGTTTTCTAATGATAGATTATCGGTCACGTGAATCGCAGCATAAGTGGACGCAGATGTAGCAAACCGATCCAAGATGTAGTCATCAAATCTGTGTGTCCGGTTTCTTTGTTTAGACAGTGCTGAAATTCCTTCGGATTTGAAGTCATTGCTCATCGACAACCGTTCGCGCTCTTCCACAATCTACGATGGTCACATTAATCCATGCTCTTCAAGAGCCGGTGAAAACCATTTAGGTAATCAATCAGATGATGAAGAGTACTGCCTTTTAATGGTTTCGGACGGGGGGTGCTTGACTTATGGTAGCTAACATAAGATAACACATGGTAAACTTTCTTAAAAACTCACCGCGTCTGACAGATTTGAAACATAGTCACATGCTGCTGCACAACCATTTTGTGTGTGTGTGTGCAAACAGTCTAAGTGATTGGATTTGCATATAAAAACTGTGCTTTTTATGCAGTGGTTTGTACATCATCTTACCGACCCACTGATGCTCAAGTTCGTGCCTCAGTGAATCTAGTGGATAAACCGTTAGCGTGAGACAGCTGCACGGTGAGTTTGAGGCTTTTCAATCATGGTTAACAGGCTGAAATGGCGCGAAGAATTCGCATTGTTCTAGCGTTCTTTTCCTCATAAACTGCTCTGGGGGAAGAAAGAGCAACACTTGCAGTACCACAGATTTTCAGTGGTCGATTGAGGTACCACCTAGTTAAGACCAATCGTATAAAAACACCTTATAGATCAAAACATTTTGAAATGCTTTCACCAGAATGTAGTGTACTACACTAGATCAACAAGGTTTTCGACAGAAATTTCGTTAATTGAAAGATTTTCAATATTATCTAATTTACCCCTGGTAAGCTCATCAGCGAAATTTGTAGGAAACTCAGCGGTTTCCGATTACTCGCTTGAGAAATCTTTCCAGCTAGAACTAATTTGGGTGACTTTAGTTGGTCTGTTTGGAACTCACGGAATCCACTTAGGAGTAACTCCTCTAAACTGGTTTGCTATCGTCTCCTTGGGGCGTTCAAAATCCCTTTGGTCTGTAACACTTACCCAAGACTCAGCTGGATCTCCGAGATACAGAAGCCACCTTCCCGACGGATGGACTAAACCAGGGTGAAAACAGTGAGAGCCTAAAATCTCCAAAAGAGATCTACTCTAAGTTTCAACTCGCCTGTTTATCAATAGCTTACAAACGAATTGATCAGCTTGACAATTGAGCAAAAGCGACATTCTCAGTGTGACTTGATAGTTGAATACCATAAAAACCATCTAAAGCTGTTTCTTCAAAATTAAAAAGAAAACTCCTTCCCAGAATCTAAAATGGCATAACCAACCCAGGACGAGAAAGATGAAGTGACAACGAAAAGTTGTACCGTGCGTTTTTGACATAAAACACATACGTAGGACATGCATGGGACACAGACGGACAGTTTATCAAACCAGTGACCGGAGGTAATCCACACATATTTACTGTCCAGGGTTTCGCTAAACGTGAGCTGTTCTTTGGGTGGTCCGCGACACGTTGATTAGGCGGGACGAATAAATTACATTTGGGTGAACTGTTATACCCCGGGCTATACCTCTAATTTTCTCCCGTAGAGCAACCGACACTGTAAATTATATGCCCTCGTCTACCTTCAATAAAATCATTGAATCTATATTTCCTCATTTAGTTGAACGCATCACGTATTATTTCTCCCATGTTGCATCCATGCTCCCTTACATTTGACTCAAATTGTTTGTTGCAGTCCAATAGACAGCTGTGGGTCCTGTGAGTGAGTAATACTTTTCTTGGTGGTATAGCAGTCTGAGGGGTTCTTCAATAATCCGATGCTTTGCTGATTTCAAGGATCCCGTAAACTGTGACAGGGCTACAGGCAAGCCAACCGTTCCTTTCAATCACTGACCGATCAATTGGAACCTGGTTTCAGCTAAAATGCCGGGATCGTCGGGACGGGAAAATTATCTACCCATTGTTTTCAATGAATATTCGAATAACGAGCGGGTGCCGCAGCACCTATACACAACAATCGATCCTGGAAGTTGTAAAAAAGGGAGTCACATCGTTGGTACGTGAAGTAGAGACCCTCATCAACAGTAGATAAGATAAATGTGTTGCTGGTCAGATGATAAGAACAATGTTTATCAACCTATTAGGTACGCATAATCAACGAAACCGATGGTATATTCACAAGAACAATACATTAGACACGCAATTATCGATCGCTGATAGAAACAGTCGAACAATCCAACGTGCATATACGAAGGAAAGCGTACTGATGACCCTCCTGTTTGGGATTCGTTAACAATGCCTACGTTTCTCTGTCCCTGCGCGGAACTCGAACCGCGGACTTTTGTGGTGGGAGTTGAAACCATTTTTCCCGAATTACACGGTTGAGGATAGATACCTAATTTGAATGACTCGATCAGTATCAAGTATCACGTTTAGATTAATCCATTCGATTGTGCACAAGAACCAAGCTAACCAAATAAAATCAACTGTGCCTGGATATCCTCGAGTTAATCAGGGCTGAATGCTACCAGACGCGTCCCAGGATTGTGAATGGGGGAATACCTTCACCGAAGAAGGTTGGCTGTGAATAAGTTGTGGCATACCGCAGCTAATGAGCAGTCGCGAACAAACAGCGGTGGCACTACCAGGTTGTGGTAGGTTTTAGGCTGTTCACTTGGCTCCTGCTTAAAAGCCGCATAAACCCAATGACGGTGTCATGACAAAAGTCGATGTGATTGGTCTTTAAAACTAAATTCATTGACCCCCTCACTTCTGAGGCGAGGGGTTGCTTCCTGCTGCTTTACAGATCGCACTTGGTTGTGCAAAGGCGAGATGTGAGCCTTCAAAATAAAAAAAGTTGCTGAGCGACGCTTCGGACGTCTCTCGTACCAAACTCCCAATGAACTCCATGATCTTGATCACGACCATGTCTGAAGCCGGATTATCCTTTCCAAGGAGCCCGCGGCAGTAAAGCAAGTAAGTAATCGTACGAAAAATCACATGGGTCAACCCAAACCTGATGATAATACTCTGAAAAATAATAGGAAAGACTTGTGTTAATGTAAAACGGGACAATCTCAAGTGAACTCTTCACAGCACGCGTCTGTTGACCCGATGTGAGCAACAGTCCGTTGGGTTCAGAAAATGTGGTAAATGCACCGAACTATCGGCCCGTCAGTTAGATGTAAGTGATCAGAAACGCGATATCATATAGAGTGCTTACCTTGCCTAGTGCGACAGCGCTGGTAGCCATATCCAACACAAACTCATCTCCCGGTTTGGATGAAGGAGCTGCAATTGTCAGCGGATTTGTTCCCACCGTGCGCTGATAGTAAGTAATATGAAGGGGAAGGGATGAGAACAGGTTAAAAAGTTTAAAAAGGAAAATGAGTTTCATTTTGTAACACACAGAACTCGGTATACCCATTGGTCTCGTCTAATAATGCGAATAATAACGATAATAGTAATGTGTGTTATATCTTTTGGTGACTAATGGACTAAAAGGGTATGTAAACAGCCTAACTGATCAGAAGAATGACGCGGGCTACAGCCAAGTGAGAAAGTTAAGTGGGTAATCAATGGTCAAAAGATCGTACCTTGTATCGTCCACGAGTGAGTTCAACTCGAACAGAGTCCCCCCCCCCCGA